GGGTGGGGGGGAAGCTGACGTGACGGAGCGGTGGGGGGAGGGGAAAGTGTTTCTTGTGCTGCGCTGCCGAGAGCCACCGCCGCTCCTCGTCGTTGTACGACGTTTTGAAGCTTTTTGTTTTTTTTCTTTCGCACGGAAAGGGATGCTTGGCAATCGCGGCGATAAAGCGGTTGGTTGTTTTGAGGGGAGGAAGGAAACTCATGTGGAAATTGTAGTTGTGAGAACAAATGGAATTGCCATTGTTACGCCAGGACGAAAAAAAGTCGGTTTTGAGAAAATGTCACGTTACGAGGCAAAACGTCGAAAGCTGGCGATGAAAATGGCGTAAATTTTCTAGAACAGTCATATTTTTATGAGAAAGAAGTGCTACCTTTCTGAGAATAAATTGTAAGTTGATGTGACAAAGTCTTCAATGTTTCGCGAAAAAGGCTTCACAGAAGCCTCTCAATGTTACAAAAAAAGAATAATTATGTTACAGTAAGGAATAGTTGTAAATTTAAGCAAAAATATGTGCAGTGAGACAAAGTAGATGGTTGTTTGTAAGATAAAGTCCCAAGGTCGCAGGGTAAAATATCGTAAGGTTGTAAGGATAAAGTCGGACTTTTCACACAAAAAGTCTTACAGTTATGAGAATAAATTTGTAAGTTAACAAGAACTAAGTTGTGCATTTATAAAAATGTAAATTTTACGAGGAAGAAAAACTACTGGCGCAAAAATAAAGTTGCGAGGTTGCGTGAAGTCGTAATGTGATGAGATATGTGGAAAAGGTCGGAATTTCACGAGAAAATGGGTCATACGGAATCTCAGGCCTGTGAGAATAAAACTGAGTCCCGTCATTATGAGAAGCAAGTTGGAATGTGACAAAAAAAAAAAATTGACACTTTCGCGACAATATATGAAACTAGAATCTCAAATCGTAGTCTTACATTGAAGTCACAACATTAAAAAGTTGTACGTTTCCAAGAACTAATATTAAATCAGGTTGGGGGGAGTCCGAATTTTGTAAGAATAACTCGTAGTCTTCGAGGAAAAAAAACGCAAAGTTACGAAAAAAGAAGTCAGGCAATGCGAATGAAGTCGTCAGGCCACAAGATGGCGTCATAATGTTCACGAATTCTTGTCACGAGATGTTGCGAATTTTTTTTCATCAATTGCACTTTCAGTGAAAAAAATCGGAACTAAAGTTCCTTTGTAATGAAAGAAATTACACAATTTGTGAAAACAAAGATGTCTTGTCATGCGTCGTCACTCAAATGCGCCCGTCTTGGCAGCGGGCAGTGTCTGTCCGAATGATCCTCAACACGGTGAGGTGCGCCATGATTAATTGCGCCGTGACCCCCTTTGATAGATTGCATCGATGAACCTATAGCAGGGTATCGATTCAATCCTAATCTATAGGCCCCATCTCTCTCGCTCGCTCGCTCTTTTTCCTCTCCGTTGGCTGGGAGCCCGGCTCGCCCCGCCGAGCCTGCCTGTAATTATCCCCGGCGAGGCCGCGCTAACTCAGCGTGGTGCGCCTGTGGGGAACAACCGGTTAACTCCACACGGGAGGAGCAAAGGGGGGTGGGGGAGGGGCCTGTGTGCTCATCCGTGCACGTGCGGCGCCGGGGAGGAAAAGAAAAAAAAAAAAAAAAAAAAAGGAGGAAGCGGTCGCTGTTGTTGTTTTTCTTCAGCATGTCCTTTCACGAACCCACAAGCTGAGTCCTCGAAAATTAGACGCCGTAAATGACTTCAAAACAAAGAAAAAGGCGAACCTTTTCACCGCTCTCGACGTTCCGACCGATGTTGAAGCATTTGGAGATTCTCATTTCCCTTGATCTTGGCAAGAACTTGTTTCATTTGTATTCAGACTTAACCGCTCGATTGTCAACGATATATCACGCTTGATTGTTCACGCCCACGCGGCTGTATATCACAGATTTCCGAGCAATCTTTTTGATGTGTTTTTGCGGCATATACAGGCAAGTCCGAATTTAGAGTTGCGCGGTTTGAGCGTCGTACTCGGCCGAAGCCGCAACATGGAGAGCGACACTGAGCTCTCCTCGAAGTAAATGCGGCGTAATTAGAGACGATCTAAAACTCTTAATGTAATTGCAGAAACGCTTCATGCCACTGAATGTCAGGAAACTGCTATCGATCATTCTAAAGATATTACGTGGACATCTGTACTGATGCCCGTGTCAACCTCTGAAAAATATCAGAACAGGTGCCCCAATATGGAAAGATCGAGAGATCTATTTTTATTGCACATGAAGCCTTTTCCTCGCCATCGACCATCTCTAAAGAGAAAAGCTTTACAGAAAAAAAAAAGATGTCAGCAAATCGTCACCAAAACTAACGTAGACATTTGTACTTATACCCACTTCACCCTCCGAATGATCGCCTCATTGTTTTATATTTTAATGGACATTTAGCGCTTTCCTCTTTAAGGGGACTTTTCACTGTAGCAAATTTGATCTCAGACGGAAACACGAACACACACAAAAAAACGTATGTGTACGTTTTATTTTTATTCCAATAGTGCATAAGTATGAGCATACACTTATTTGGCATTTCATATAGCCAGCGTAGAAAGAAAAAAAGGGAAAGAAATTGCGAAATTTACAATCACCATTTACTTTCACTTACATCAATTTCTTGCATAATGTCTTTTATTTTGCTTCCGCCATCTTTCATTTTTATTACTATTATCCTGTCTTCAAGCTTTTCTTTTCATAACTCCTTGGTATGCAAAGGTCCGTTTTGTCGCCATTTTAGCAATGCAACCTTCGTGCTGCGTCTGAAACAAATACTTCCTGTACTACTGTGCATGTGTAAACCAGTGTGGTCGTTGCTGTTGTCGTTTCCTTATGAAGCAGTAGAGGTCGCTGTGGCATGCTGAGGTTGGATTAGACTTTTGCGGAAGGCTTGTTTTCGTTGTGGTGAATCTCGTTGCGAGGCAAGAGCAGAGAAAAAGATTTCGTATCACGGAACAGGGGGACTTTTCGTCGTAGGGGGAGCAGAAAAGTGGGAATGGCTTTCATGCATGAACATTTTTTCACACTAGGGGGTATTTTCGCCCATGTAGATTTCGTTGTAGAGGAGTTTCACTGTATTACGAAAAACACAAGTTGTGCTATAAGGAGAAAAGTCGTCGTGCAACTAGAAATGATCGAGAAGAAAAATCTGAATTTCGGATGAAAAGTTGTCTGTTAAGAAAAAAAAGTCATTATACTACGCTAAAAAAATCTGTTTCTGAGAAAAAAAAGTCCAATTGAGTTAATGGTTGATATTTTTAAATGTGTTCCTTATCGGTATAATTGCGCCACATCAAATGAAGAACCCTATTGATTTGTAATCTGACGCAAAAATTACGTGGATTCATAAAGTGAACTCCACGAGTCACCGTGCCGGGGATTGTGCAAGAAGAAAAAAAATGGTCGCCGCAGCAGGGAGACAGCTGTGATGAATTACAACAAATGAGCCTCGTGATCGTGCTACGTCGAGGCTCTGCGCTCGCCCGGCCGGCCGGCCGGCGTCAATACACAGTGCATGTGCGCGGCGGGGCTTTCGTGCGTTGGCTTGCGCCCGTGTGACTTGCACTAAGCGATCCATAACAATCTGCAGGTGGATCGTGCTGATTAGTCCCGGCTGCTGCGGCCTGACCTGCGTGCAAAGAGCTTCCTGCAATCTGAGCCTGCCTGTGTGTGTGTGTGGTGTGTCCTCTTGCGCTAAAGGCTACATTGGAAAATTAGTCTTGCTTGTCCTCCTGCGTGCGCGTGTGTGTGTGTGTGTGTGTGTGTGTGTGTGTGTGTGTGCGTGCGTGCGTGTGTGTGTGTGTGTGTGTTCCGCGTTGGCAGGCAGCCCTTTCTGAATGTGTGTCAGCACACTCTCCCAATGTGTGTGTGTGTGTGTGTGTGTGTGTGTGTGTGTGTGTTGTGTTTTTGAGGACAGCATGAGTATATTTACCAAAGGGGTGTTTTTGTGCAAATGTGCAGCCAGTCCAGTGCTCCAGTCTGATTGCGGCAGCAGATGGCGGGATCACTGCGACCTCCCAGGGCGCCGCGCCTTCGCCGGGGTGCGCCCGTCTCGATCCCCGCCTGTATACACGCCGAGTTGCTCTTTTTTTTTTTTTTTTTTTAACGAGGCGCGCATCTGAATCCGCGCACGGAGGACACATGTGGCGGGAGAAGGACGGCGGAGTTTCAAGCGCATTCCTGCTCGCCGCGCTCCGACTCAAAGAGAAACGTGCGGGCTATTTCAAAACCGCCGACGTCGCTCAGGGTCGTAAAAAGCGCAGCTGTTGATGCGTCTCTGTCCAGCTCTCGGCAAAGGTGGGGGGGTTTTCTCTTTCGCGGAAGAAAGCCACGGTCAGTCTTGAATCCAGTTTTCCAGTGAGTATTTCCTGAGTGCTTGACCGAGGACCACTGGGGTAAAATATGGAGGCTCTCTTGGAAAAAAACTGGATCTGCTGGGATTTTTCTCTTTTTATTGAACATTTTTTTGCGGCCATTTTCTTCGCCTAACTCACGACGGCCCTTGGCTTTAGAAGCCTCTAAACCGACCACATTTGCAAAGAGCCAAGCGAACTGACTCGGAAGCCAGAATCTGTCACAACTGCAGTGACTCCCGCTCCCTCCCCACTGTAAGAAGGGTGATAACGACCCCACGCAGGGTGCCCCCTTTCACTCTGCCCCGGAGACTCTTGTACGAGGGGTCATCTTTCGAAGGGTCGTTTTTTTTTTTGAAAGGTCGTTCCGACTGGAGGTCGACTTGCCTCCCAACTTGCAACGTTTGAAACCACCTGTAACAGGAGAGGCGGCTGACCTCAAACTGGAAAAGGCACTTATCTTGGTGGACAAGTCGCCCATGGAGACTGACTCGTTGGCCTGTCTGCAGTCCCTTGCACAGGGGCCACGTGTCTAAGGGGTTATCGAACGAGAAGCCTTCCCACTGAAGATCAGCAGGCACCCTCAACTTGCAAATGTGACACCACCTGCAACAGAAGGAGAGGCTTGTGACCCCCAACGTCGAGTTCAAACTGACTTAAACCGTCCACAATGTCCAACAATACGACGATCATGGCTCAGTGGCCAAGAACTGCAAGGAGACAGGACTTGTTGGTTTGTCTCTGTCACTCGCACAGGGGACACCTCTTCAATGTGTCCCCACAACTGAAGGTCAAGTGCCCTCCCGGCTTGCAAAATTTGACACTACCTGCAACATAAGGAGAGGCTTCTGAACCTAACCTGGATTTGAAAGTGAATGAAACTGACCACAATGTCCAAAAGGGATCATCGGCTTGGTGGCCAGGAACTCCAAAGAAACGGAATTATTGTCTCGTCTCTGGGGTCAATCACACATGGGCCACCTATCCAGGGGGTCCCACCAGCTTGAACCCTTTTGACTAAAGCTCAGCGGGTCTACCAACTTGCAACGTTTGACACTACCAACAACAGAAAGGGAGGCCGGTGACCGCACTGCGGAAAGGGGCAGGAGCATGCTTGGGGACTAAGAACTCCAAAGAGACAGCATTGGGCTGGCAACCAGTTCGGGGAGGACCCTGCTTACTCGCGAAGACAGCTGGGATAGGCTTCAGCACGCCCCGCGACCCTTGTGAGGATAAGCGGATCAGAAAATAATGAATGGATGGATGGATGTGTTTTACAATAATACGTAACCATATTTATAATTTCAAATGTACCTCAAAATAAGAACAAAAAGGGGCTGCGGTTTTTCTGTTGTATCGAGTTGGTTACGTGTGCTTGGATCCATTTCCATTTGTGTGGGTGTATGTCTGCGCCTGTAATATGTTTTGCGATTGCCCAATTCAGGCGAGTTCAACCGCATCGCTTCCCGTGCACTGGGTTTTAGACCCAAAGGGGTCCTTAATCCTGAGCCTACCTTCTGACACGACACGTCGCAAAGTGAGAGAGTGGAGTACCCTCAACCCAACCTGTAACCTGACTGTGGCATCGTAAAGGGCTGCGGGGAGCAAATCATGCGTACAACCCGAAGGAATCAGGCTTGTTGGCATGGTTTCAACCATAATGATAGCACACTCATCTCAAGTGACAGCAGACACCCGTGACATATTAGCACTGAGGGCTGGCATGTGTTAAAAAAAAAAAAAAAAAAAAGTCAGTGGAAGGGAAATAGGGATGAGGTCCAACATGGCTGAGTACAAAGATACGTTGCCAAGGGGTAAAGATGGTGCCAAACTTGAAAATGTTGGCAGAACTGCATGAAGTGTTGCTTTAAGGGGGAAAAAAAAATCAAGACAATACCAATGTCTTATTGTTTTTTTTTGTAGCCTTGAACTTTTAGAGCATTTTTGAGGATGGAGCCATTTGTGAAAACTCACAGTCACTCGCCATCCGTAAACTTGAACATAAAGGAATGACCCCGTTAAACAACACTTGGTCTGTACTAAGTCGGCGTTTTATAACCCAAAATGGAGCCCTTTTTCAAAATGGCCTCCAGGGTTTATAAATTTAAAAACCCCGACCCTGTTTTTCAGTGAGCTAGCAACAACAGCCTTGGTGGCTGCGTGGCTACACTGTCGATGATTTGTTTGTGCAGACGCTGCTCACCAGCCATGACTGTAAATGTCACACTACGTGACTATTCTTCCCGCCTGTGACAATTAATGAGCAAACGTGAGGAAAGAGAAAAAGAAGAGGCTAAGTGTTTCAATGCGCAGTGACTTTTTTTCCCCGTGGAAAAAAAAGAAATGTCTTTTTCACACGTAATTTGCAGTTTCCAATCCATAGAAGCGTAAACATAAACATAAACATGTCTATTCAAAGTCGCTTCGTTTCATATGGTCTCACTATATTGCGGATATTCACCGATCACGGGTGGATCTGGAACATATCCACGGCGATGCGGGTGGTGGCAATTTCACAGAAACGGGGCTAAATCCCAAACCTCGGGGCGGTGAGGTAGACATGCTCACTATTCGCCCAACATGCTGCTTCATTTATGGGCACTGAAGCCTGCAGTCCCACCAAATTTGTCCACAAATGTCATGACATCGCCAACTACCCGCTTAGAATTTACATCACAGCTTTTTCGGTCGCATTTGCTGGTCTTTGCAAACAGGGATCAACTGCATGCGAACCTTTAAAATGTTAACCCCGAACGTTTTGTCCAAGTGTCATTTATGCTCATTTAAAGCACGTAGCCCTCGAATTCGCAAGCTGTGAGATTGCCAACTATTGGCATGGCATGCGCATTACAGCCTTTTGAGACGCCGCGTGAATGGGGATCGATCCTGTCTGGCTGTGAAAACTCAGTTGGACAGAACCACATCCTTGCCCAGGCGTTTCATAGAAGTTGCACCATTGTGTGCACGCTCGCCGAGCCCCCGCGCCCCCCCCCCCCCCCCCCCCCTTCTCTCAAAGACCTTCCTCCGGTCCTCCCGCTATGCTCACTTAAAAAGAAGAAAAGCAAGAAGAAAAAAAACTCCCGACGGCAAAACAGTTTGCCGTCGGAGTTGAGCTTTGCTGCGTTTTTTTTTCTCCCTCCTTCCCTTTTTTGTTCTCGCACACGTGAGAGCCGCGCTTACTGCTTGCCGCAACTCCTACTTTCAACAGCTGTGGTCGAAAAGCAGCCAGAGCCTCCGTTTGCCAAGTCTTCCTCTTTTCCGACTCCTACTCTGCTCCCGACTGCCTGTCTTTCTGACTGTCTTCCTGCCTGCCTGCTTGCCTGTCTGTCCGCCCCACCAACACGCAGGCACATCATGCGCACACACCTCAGGCTTCAGCCTCCTCCTCCTCCTCCTTCACTTGACATGGGAGCCTTAACAGATGTGCCCCAGCCTTGAGCGGACACTCCGCACCCCCCATCACCCTCCCCCCCCACCCCACA